GAGAATCCTAGCGGCCGGCTGCTCTGGTCCGTAGTTTTCCGTGGTTTCTCCGATCAACACCAGGCGAATGCCGGAGCAGTGCCCTAACAAACGGGCAATGGACCGCGCGCCAATGTTTCGTTCCTCTTACGGGAGTAATAACCTTGGACGCGGCTGGAGTGAATAAATCAAGCAATGAACCATGTGTTTTTTCTCGTCTAGGTGCAGGTGCCGGTACTGCTGGCGGAGCTGCGGCGCCGGGCCCGGGCCCGCTGCAGCTGGATGCGCGCCAAGTGGACGCGCATATCCGGACGGTGCGCCGTCAGGGGGAAGTGGCGCGTTTCCTGAACGCGTGCGAGGCGCGCGGGGCGCGGCCAATGGCGCTGGTGCGCGAGCTCTGGCCCGCGGCCTCGGCCGCCGTCCATACTCAAGCCCACGCCCACGCCGCCGCCCCGCCCACGCTGTTCGGCAGCGCCCGCGAGCGCGTGCAGCTGGCCGCCCTCGCCATCCTCTGCGGCCGCGACGTCGAAGAGGGCTTCGGCATCGCCTTCAGGTGCGCTTGCCAACGCTTTCACGCACAAACTGTACATTCACACTGAAACATACACAGTCACACATACAATCACAAACACGCTAGCATTCACGCACTAGCTCTCATACCCACTCACACACATACACTTGGTGGATTATAGTGGCATGCCATATCTCTTCTACCGGGAGAGGTGCAACAACTGATGTCTGCAGTGCTTATGCCCTGGAGGTCCTAGGTTCGAGTCCCGACAGTGGCAAGATTTTCGACATTAGCGCGTCAGCTAGGTCGAATTCAGTCGCTGTCTGGAGGATAATTCTAGAAGTCCGCTTCTCTATTCAATGGTTTTCCGTGATTTCTACGATCAACACCTCAGGCAAATTCCTGAGCAGTATCCTAACAAACGGGCCATGGACCACGCGCGATATTTTCTTCATCTTCCTTGTCCTACCCTCACTTGGATCTCGCCATTCAGCGGGGGAAACTCACCGCTGCCACCTGCCGAGAAAAAATAAAGCATGCGCTACATTTACGGAACTGACCTCGTTAGTGGACACGCCCGGAATCTCTAATAGCCAGTCATCTCTCTTCTACGAACTTGAAAAGAATTAAGATGTATTTTTAGTTCCGGAAGTATTGGTTGTGATTAATCACGCACCCATTCACCAACTGGTTTTCAGAGGCAAGCGTACACGTTGCCTGCTCTACAGTTGCGGGAGACATCGGGTCAATTCCAACCACGCAATCACGCTCCATCGTTACGGGGGGACGGGTTGGCACTGTGAAAACTCATTCTCGGCGTTCTCAACAGCACATTCGCATACAGGACAGTTCTGGGAATATTCCAGACTGAAGCTCGGGAGATCTGTTTTAAAGCGCCATGACTTCTTAGAAACTTTATGAGACATTACTTTACCTCGCCATGTACCCGACTCATCTACATTTCTACAAGATAGAAAAGACAGTATGATAATCTTCCCCTGATGGACGTGTCTCATCGTTGCTGCCATTTATTGAGAGGTTTCAATCCATCGTGCCTCCTTTTCTATCTTTTCGTTCTGTAGGAATTATAACGGCAGTGCTATTCTTCCATTGTCTCATACTGTATCACTGAACACGGTGCAGAATGAGCTACCATGAGCGTAGAAAGCCTGCATTTCTTCGCGTTCATCGCTAGATTTGTTCAGTACCCGGATCCATCTTTCTGTAGCACGTAGGTATAGGTCGCAATGTCGGGGAGCGTTTTGTTTTTTGAACTCCTAAAACAGCCCCCAATTTTGTGATATTTTTTAAAATCAATTTCTTGTGGTCCCTTAATACAATATTAAAATTGAAGTTGCTTTAGAATCTTTGATTTAATAGCAAAACTTAAATTCATTGCGTCATCCATGACGCAACGAGTCGCTTGAACCCTTGTTTGGGGTTGAGTGCTTGTCGTGGAGTAATCCTCCTTTGTTATCCTTTTCAAGTCTCGTCACGTCGGTCAGTCAAGGCCCTGGTCAGTTCGGCCAGGCGCTCGGCGCCGTTAGATCCCGGGGTCCAACCACGAACCCGCGAGTCTCGAATTCATATAACCTCCGTGACTTCACGGAGCGTAGTAAACGAATTCGGCCAGCTACGCCGGCATTCAATTCGATATTCTATACGATAACTGAACCGTCGCCACCCACGAGACGAGACGCGATCCTGGCCAATCACTGGGTTGGAAACAGGCTGCGTCACACGAGTGGAAGTTGCCTCGACGCCCACATGCTGCAACATCGTGTGGTAATAAGCTTACAAGTCCTGGGAACCCTCTATGACGCATCAGGACCCCTCGTGGCGGCTCTGCCAGACTAGCTTAAAGTAGAAACCTTCAAACTTTCAAATGCAGACGAATAAAAAAAGATTAAAGGAAATCTAGACAATACTACTCACCCCATCAAATGAGCGTGATATGCATATAAATTTTACATTAAAAATTATTTAAATTCTTAAAAAAATATAAAAGTATAATTTCTCTGCTAAAATGATGGTTGACGTTTGAAAGTTGCCCTGTTTTCGTTGTATTGATATTTTTGAATTTTTGGGTTCAACATGTCCAAATTCTCCTAAACATCCTGCCATAGATTTGTGTCGCCCTGTGGGTGACGCCATCTGCTGTCAGTGGCAATTGCTTTCTTGCAGATACATTCAATCTCTTCTATGAATTTCATGATAGCAACGATGACAGTTTGTCTCAATCTGATTGTTCCTCTTTTCTCTAATCTTCTTTCAATCTCGTATTTATTCCAATCTCGTACTTATGATATTCTCGAGAATCTTACAAGCTATCTAGCGCATACCGGGGCCGCAGAAACGATGGGTCTTAGAGTGGTTTATTCTCCTTTGAGAGAAGCACTAATAGTTTTTTCCACTACTCTGGAAATATCCCGTATCTCAAGCATGGGAATCCGCAAATATTACGATATGAGCCGATACCCCAGTTTTGAGGGCAATGTTGGTATACTATGTGGTCACGAAGCTCTGGTTATTCCAACTTTTCTCATTGCATGCCGCATCCCTTCTTTCGTGATTGATGGTATCAGTTATGGATCAAGTGCCACTATGATGTTAGGCAGCTCACCAGGTGGTGTGGAAATGGAGCCGTTACAATTATTCTGAAAAGAATTCAGGATAGTTTTGGAGACTATGTGCAATCTTATAACCTTGCCTACGACCATTTTGTAAGCCATAACCCATATATCTTTATCCATCTCGTTGCACGGACTTTTGGCCTATGGGCACTTTATTTTTAGAATTTTCTTCAGCCAATTGCGAGCCAGTTAGTATTGCTCTTGTAAGAGGACAATCGTATTCGTGCCGCGAGCTCTATTGTAGTGTCCTAGCTCGAAGGCACTGTCGGCGCAGTTGAGATGAATCTTCTTTTCGCAGGTAAACTGGGAAACTTAGACTATTGGTTTCTCCCCTGGACATAGCGCATCGCAAGCAATGGTTACTCTCCTGTATAACTTGGCAAGTCTTTGTCCCTGCCACCTCGGATCATTCTGTCTTCTCCAAAACCGGACATCAGCGTCCACGTTAAATGCTTAGGTTTTTTCTCTTGTTACCTTACATCTCGGTCCTAGGTTTTCCAACTTTTTTGGCATTGCACTTAGTGTAGAATAACCTGGTGGTCGCTATAAGCATCGTGTTCACTGATTGCAAGGCACTTCAGTTCTAAGCAAGCTAAATGTTCAATCCGCCATGAATTCCTCACTACCTACCTGTATGAACTTGTGTGCATCTCAGTCTTTAATGAGCTCAATGTTGAAGAGGGGGAGAGATTCCGGTAGAACTCGACTTCCCCTGTTCCTTGGGGAATTACCCCTCTCCCATGGTTCACGTGTTGAAGTCCCGCTATCACCAAGGCACTGCGTCATCTTGCATCATAGATTAAACGTTCGAGGAATCCCACAAATTTGCAGGAGGAATTGATCAAAATTGATGAGATGTAGCAGCTACAGACGTCGACTCCTTTATATTCACCAAGACGAATCCAACTTCGGCTTTAGTCATTACCTGTTGGATTGAGAGATATTCACATGTCCAAATTGCTGCTTTATTGTGGATGTCTGATTCTCACGGCTTACCGCCACAGTATTTGTATTCTCACGGAATCGCGACATCAACGTCCTATTTCCGCACACAATGTGCGAGCATATCCTGGCGATTTCATAGTGTGACTAACAATATCACTCTAAGGGTAGTACGAACTTCCTAGTGTTTTTGTAGAATTCCCACCTACCCTTTCAAACAAGTCTTATACACACACAGCCGAACAAAAGACTAACAGAAAAAGTGAAAATGTATCACTCAAAGTCGGTCATCCCAAAATGTCTTAACGCCATGCGATAAAATACCACGACATCATGATCGGCACGCGCTTGCCCTTTAGATATCACTTGGACTATGCCACCAACAGTGGAAAAATGGACATTATCGTGGGAAAAACGACCTTGTGGGAAAAGCATTTATCGTAGGAAAATCGCATTTATCGTGAGAGAATCGCATTTATCGTGAAAAATCGACTTTATCGTGGGAAAATCGACCTTATCGACGGAAAATCGACCTTATCGACGGAAAATCGACCTTATCGACGGAAAAT